CTGACTATTCGAACAGCATAATCTCATTCAAATACCAGCTTGAGAGAAACGCTGTCAAAAACCAAAGAGAAGTCCGGTAAAATGCGGACGACGGAATGTTGTATACCAACCGCATTGTAAAACTTGCGAAAAGGCCGAACTGGAGGGAAATTGGAAACAAGGATATAAGAGCATAGAAGAGCTTGCGAGAAGCATTATGCATCATCACTAATTTTAGCGCAAATGGACGAAGAAGGAAACAGCTTTGATTGGGCCAAAGTCTTGGCACGAGGCGAGACAGAAAGAGAAAGAGAGTTCCTAGAAGCTTCGTTATTCACGAAAATTTCAGTCAACCTGCATATCGACATTAACTCAGTATACCGACCACTGTGAATCAAAACGATTCAGTACTCGGACAACGGACAGGATAATCACTGTGAACCTAGCGCCTGGACACTGCATAAGCCACTGGGACTACAAAGACCTCTCCACTTCGGAACCTTTTTCTAACATTCAATCAATATCAATCTAGCCCCATTCAGTGCAGCGATGCGCATCCAATCAGGGTGAATTATCAACGGAAGACCATGGAACTGCGAGTATCTCTCCACCTCGGAAACTTTTTGTAATCAATCAAATTCAATCTAGTCACAACGAGCACATGGACGAACACTGATCAGATTGAAGCGCACTTAATATCATTACTAATCTATATAGGAGCCAGTACTGCAACTGGTAGCATCCACACCCATGTTTGCCTAGTTCGATTTTTCGCGAACAAGCTGCAGCTGACTTAGCACCGATGGTGTCATCTCGGTTGGTGACAAAACGTCTAGAACCAACTTGCCAAGCTTGACGAACAAACAAACTATTTAAGCACGGAAGTTGCACGCTACCGGAATTAAGGAATGTGCGTGGCGGGATAAGCGATTATTGACGACGGCAGTTTAGTAGGTAATGGGTGAAGATAACTGCACGTGGGAGATCTCCAGCGGTATTGCAGCTGTTGTCAACTAAGCTGGGAACTGTAGGAGGAAGGTTGGTAGTCAGGATGGGAGGAGTGCAAGAGAACCAGGTGTAGAAAGAAAAGAAATTGTCGGCAGTAGCACGCTGTCGCTTGCCCACCCTACTGCATACAAGTTAAGGCGTCCTTTTTGAAACTGCCCGACGGCCGATGGTGAATGTGGCGGGAGGCTGATGATACACTAGTGGTTGTACATGGGTTGGGAAACTGCCAGGGCGCCTAATCCTGAGTAGGTAAACGATTAAGTTCTGCAACCAGTGCTTCTGGCTCTAAAAACTGACCACAAGCTAGCAGGAACTTGACAACGGCCCGGTTTCCAACTTGAAGGCTCAGGAAAATGAGTTTTTCGAACCGCTGGTCGCGGACCAATCTGGTAGGAACAACTTCCAAGGTGGCCGCGGGCACCACCCAGCATAGGTCAATGGACCGAAAAGGTAGGTAAACCATCGCACTCCGTTAAGGTCGTCTTATCTTGACGACGCATTAACGGATTCATATTAAGCGACTCTTGTTTGACTCTTCTTGTTCACTTCCTAATTTTTTGTAGCTCAGACTTTTTCCCGCCTAACTGTATTTCGCGTTAATTTAGTGGACACTATCTGCGATAACCAGCTTGGAGATGATATGGCGGTAGATGACGCGTCATTTCTGTTCACCTTGGCATGGCGCTGTTTCATTTGCAGGCCTCAGTGCTGTCCTATCTTTTGCTACCTGGACTACCCGCCGCACATCACGAGCACACCAAATGGGAAATGGTGGTCTTACTTTTGGAACGCAAAACTTTGTGCTAGCAATCCCACCGCCATGGAATCAATGTTCCTTAAACTCTTCCTTGTTGAAAGGGAAAAGCGTACCGCTGGGCTTACCGTTTGTCTGTTTATGATCTAGCCTTCGACTTCACCATCTTGGATAACTTGATCGGGTACGAAACAACCGCAACCTTTATACAGCAGACCCAATTGACAGAAAGCCTTTCATGTATCCACCTCCCAGGTGATTTTCCGTTTTACAAGCATTCATGGTCGTGTGGGTTACCCTGAGATGAAGCGCTTCTCCCTAATTGGATGCAAATAACAACTCATAGCATTTCTCAAGAAAACTGCTAGTTTCAGGCATTGGGCAGCTACCATCTTTACCCAATCTTTAATCGTTACTTCTTTCGAGGGTTTCCGTATCATCTGACAATTGGGTGTGAAAATCGGTTGAACCTTGGTCACATAAACATCACGAATCAGCTCCTCATCCAATACCCTGTGCATTACGTTGCAATTTCCCATGGGGCAGCATCCCTATATCTGGGGCCTCAGGCCAATCAATCGTTCCAGCGCATTGGTCACACGAAAAGAGTGTTTCAGTTCTTAAGTCGATTGGCTTTACCTAAGGAGGTCCACCACTGCTGGCTTTCAGCTGTCGCTGTTCACAGGTTGCGCACTCTCATTCTCACATTTGTGTATGTATTTAACGCAAACAGCCATGGCCATATCCTTCACTTCCTTCGTCATTGACAAAACTCGGAAGCCTGACTCTGTTTTTTCTTCTATGCGCCAAAACACTGGGCAAGTGTCTACATTTGTGATAATCCTCTTTCGATTCCAAGGCGGCTAAGTGACGTCCACCGGACCACTAGGTTACAGTGTCCATCCACCAAAGCGATATAAATAAGCCTAGTGGGTACCGTACGGCAACCGCAGTGGAGTGCCGGCAAGCACTCGAACATTTGTGTAGTTCTCTTGTTCAATCACATTGGAACGCCGTATGCTACAAGTATGGGACATTGCTTTTGCTGTTCCTCCTCTTTACCTGCAGCCAGCGCATCTCTCTACCCACGAATCACGAGGCCACATTTTGACAAATTTTGTTGCTAGCTGCGACGTAGGTGATCCCAATCAGCCAAAACGTTTTCGCTGCTTCACTCATTCACGTTCCGCTTTTAAACACCTTTCAATTATGGACTTTGGTAGCATTAGTAGATGCTTACACTACTGAGAAAATGCGCGAGATGACTTGTTAGAGATGGGTCAGTGACCTTATTTCTTAGTGTATAGTCACCATTTATCAGCCAGTTAAACTGGCTTGATTCGTCTCTTCGCATCTATTGGGGAAAGTCATCAAAACCCGTAAACCGTCCCAACCACTTATCATCAGCAACTCCTAGCTACAACGGAAGTAGTTAGGGGATTTGAATTGCGCAGCTTGAGATTCACCACATCAAAATGCAGCCAGACAGCTATATCGCGTCCCAAAACAGCATTGGGCAGGCGTTCTTTTATCCCTTCGGAAAGCATCTAAACATGATAACTTTCAACTCAATCATTTAACCCATTGGTCTTAAGCACATGCTCGTAAGAGAAGGTCGCGAGTTCTGTCCCCGAAAGGGGACAGATAGAATACATGATACTAATAATTCCTGAAATCATGAAAAGCCCGTCCAATGCGTTTCGGGACATGTGATGGCTGTTGTCGTTTGACAGTACGAGCGAAGCCACACGTGTTTGCTTCCTTGGTTACAGCAACGCTCTCGGCTTTGTTAACAATGAATTACTATCGTAAGACCTACAAACATCTGCTATTCGACATTCGCTAGTATTCTTCCCAATTAATTGTTTCACCAAATGTTTTTAGGTCACCAGCTTTGGTGGCAAAAACTTCTCACCGCTTGCCATAACCGGCATTCTTCAAGGAGCTGTTTTGTCCCCATTCTTGTTCTATACTTACTTCAACTCTATGCCTGTCTCAGAAAAATCATTCTGTTAAAATATGCGGATGACGTTATCATTGGCGTGAATCATCAAATCACGGCCTCCTCAGCCAAGTTGTTTAGACGAATTAGTGCAATGGTCAAGCTATTGCTGCTTGACCCTGAACGCGTCCAACTGTCAAGACATTCAGTTTTCACCTCATAAAGCAGCTCGTCACCAGAAACTTGTCACGGAATGTTCCAAACGGCAGATGACAATTTGAGCTTCGATACGTCAGTGAGGTATCTTGAGATTACACTGAACCACGATTTGCCATGGGCACACCACGTGAATCAGATATTCGCCAAACTTAGGTGACTTTTGCTTTATGTCACTCGATTGCTATCATTCTGGGTACCATGCACTTTGATTCCGAAGTTCATCACTGCGTGCATTCTAGCACACTGAACTTATTGCTCTCCTGTGATTTTCCCAGGTCTAGTGTGTAAGCATTTCAAGCTGCTTGACAGGTCACTGAAGCACTTATCTCGCTGCAGTGGTATTCCAAAGGCAACTTTGGTAAAATCAATTGTACTGACACACGCAAATTCATGCACCAAACTTGTTTCAACAATACCCACTGACATTAGCCACCCTCTTCACACTGCACTTTCCAATTACAAACCAGATAAAAATACAGAGCAATATAAAAGTCACGTCAATTCAAAATAAGCTTTATGTATCCAGATGGGTACACGGGTGCATAAAAGCGCGTTCTTGATTTGACTTGGATCTAAGCGATGAGTTTCACCTCATGGGGTTAGGGCGCCAAATATCCTGATTTATTCGTCCTCTATTAAAAATAACAGTAACTCAGAGCATAACTCAGCTTTAAATTGTTTTGAAGCATAACTCAGCTTCATTATTCGTCCCATGTTACGGTCTGTTGGAACTTCTGCCGAAACCGCACGTTCTCTATTCTGAGTTTCTACTATGAAAATTCACCCTTTATGGGTACATAAAAGCGAGTTCTTGACTTGACTTGACTATAAAAACAGCAGGCATATTTCTTTGGCTCAGATTCGTCTAATATCAGTGCAATTTTTTGCGTGTCTTAGCTCATCTTTATAGCAACTCATCAGTGGCCAAGGAGCCAGTTATGATTTTCACTGATAATGCCGTTTTTCGCAGATTCGGCTTTTCACGCCCTCCTCTATTCTACCATTTATAGGTTTCTTTCACTCTTGCTAGTATGTTCAGACATCGGCTGATCACTTCGTGACCCCGCTAAACGTTACTGCACCCACTTCGTCACCGCTATGCGTAGTATGGAGAAGATAGGTTACCTGCAAGAAGAGTTTTACTCCGGCGAGCCATTGCTCCCGTTAGTTATCGCAGACTCTGTTGCAGAGCCCGACAGATGTGATTCAAATCAGCTTCCAGCTGAGCGCCCCGCTTCAGCAATCACAAAAATTCTCCGATGTTATTCGAAACTGCACAATGTGCATTGTCCAGTATCGGATCCGGTGTCTAGCATTGTTGGAAAGTCTGACTTCAAAGTAAGCTAAGCCCATTTATGTATTACTTGTTTTTACCCCGCCTATTTTGTTGACTAATTCAACCTCAATTCTTTAAACATAGTTTTCTTCACTATTTCTTCTACTTTGTTCTTACAGAAAAGAATGCAAATGATGTACATCATAGTTTGTTTGAGATAGAGCGCAGTTGTGTTATTTTGTAGACCGGGCTGATACAAGAAACTATTAGTGTTTAGCAACCGTTGTCCTCATCGGAATTCAAGTTATCAGAGACTTTTCTTGTTGAAACGTGGTATCGGAATTCACGTATGTAAGCAGATATATTTGGAATATTCTGTGTTTTGAAATAACGTCTTTCTTAGCAAGTTAGCTGTTTCCACTCACAAAAGTTAATCCTTTGGTGCCTTAGGTATTCGTTTTGACCAAAAACACACCAACTCACTCTAGGAAAAATCCACCCGCCGTCTGTCAACACGATTTCTTGTTAGTTCAATCAGCCATAATGATAACAGACTACTTACCAGCGCTAGCCATCGTCCTCGTTCACCTCTTTTTTACGAAATCTCCAATGCAGGCACGAGTTCCGAAGTGTCGCTGACACAAATGTTGGCCACGTTTATGTTTTCGCTCAGCTGGGTTGTATGTGCTCATGATTCTGGGTGCAGCTCTCCTTTTCAAACTTGAACAAGTATATTCTGTCGTGTAGGAATAGAACCATTTATATCGGACATTCCACTCGGACTCCATCGAAACATTGCCTATTGCTGCTTGCAGTAACAACGTTATAGATCCAGTAATCTACCGTCATTTATATGGCATTGACTTGTACCTTTTGCCAACGAATTACCACCTCTGAATGCAAAGTGTACAATGACGCCTATTATCCTTGAGCCAACTCGTAAGTGTAGCTCATTTCGCTATCTGTTCCTTGTGTCATTATTGCACTTACAACCCCCTCAGGAGCACTGCCGAATTTATGTAGTTCACCTATTTTCAATCATCAAAAGGTCTTCTCCCGTTTGGTTTGACAATCTCATGTATTGCCTGCATGCCGGCTTTGGTTTGGTAAACGGTGATTTAACTTGAAGTTTCCAGTAGCCGTGATTCGTGCTGAATTAGCTTACCGCCTTCTCCAACAAATGCATCTTGTCCATCATTTTGTGGACATTTCGTTGTTGATAACATTTTCATCATACCTACCGACTGGTTTAGTCTTTTGCTTTTCTTGCATTATCCAGGGTCTTAGTTTTGTCAGCTGAACCTATTGTATCACTTCGTAGGGCTCTATCGGTAGAAGCAATCGAGTTGCTCGAGCTTTGACTTAATCTAAATCGCAATGTCCATCGAGATAGCGTTCCGTGACTCGATGATGAATGAGATACCCATCCATAGACCAACTGTGACACAAAGTATCTTCTTACTCAGTTTGGAGTGTGTTCGCGGCTTTTGGTGGCCAGGTGACATATACTGTTCTGAGTATTAGTGCGCCGGCTGACCACGGAGCACAAAGCTGTGAACATCTCCTTTATTTGTCATGTACCTTAAAGTGTCCGCTTTTTAGCATGTTATCGATCAGCACAGAACTTCATTTGTGATCGGGGACATACGCAACGCAGCGACACACCTTCGGGAGTGGCATGACATCTTGCGGCTGTACAGAGGCGCGCCCTAACTAATTGGGGCTGATTGTACGTTGGACAACCCACCGAATAATGAAGTAAGGCAATAGGGCACTTTTCCATTGAGCACCAACCGGGGTACACCCGACAGCTCATTACCTGCTCTACAATCCTTTGCTATGCCTCGTCGATTCGGTCGACATGAGTTTTACATGTTTTGCCCGCAAAAGCTATTATCCAGCTTCTTCTCCAGCTTAAAAATTTTAGACTTACTTGCAATGTGTCAGCCAGCAGTGACTGTAACGACGATGACTGTGTTAGAAATTACGATGTTGACCTTATAGTGGCGGCTGATAAGCGTTGTTCAATATGCCACTTGCTATTGTCTCCTATTAATCCTATCTACTGTGAACGTCACCCGCCAATTCTATTTCGCAAATTTGTCTTCAGGAAGTGACCGTATTAAAATCATTGCTCCGTAAACACTGGTGTCCAATGCCGAAGTCTTGTCAACAGCTACTTGCAGAGGAAGAGGAAGTTGACAGATATCTTTCAACGGGCTACACCAAGTAAGTTGGCGTCTACTTTATTCCCTGTCGTCGCGTTTTTCACCCGATATATTTGAATATTTTGTGGTCGGTGTCCATCATGCAAACCTACCTTACTTACTTACTTACTTATGGACTTAGAAACGCACCATTTTCGTCGTATCAGCATACGCCTTATTATTCTCCGGCGGCAGCCTGTGTTCGATCTGCCACAGCGTATCTGGTTACAATGGCCAGCACTCTGCCAGACATTACAGAGGGCGTCACACCACATGCAGTTGGGGCAAGCTAGAAAGATAATCGTCTGCGTTACCGGCACCAAATAACATGTGATCGTTTTTTTTAATTTTTTTTATCAAGTTCTTACAGATAACCACTGAATATATTCACCAAGTTACGTTCACTATTTTTCCTGGACCTTTGTCTGCACCTGTGTGGAACAATTAATTCGTATCAAGTTAGGCTTTTGCAAATGCGTGATGAAAAACACTTCTTTTGTGACGGGCATTTTACCGGTCTGCCTTGACGCAACCCACTTCTGGAGTATACGTGAGCGTGGTGGGATTTTCTTCTACAAGCGTTCCATTTGAAAGGACACACAAGCCGCATGAAAGCACCTTGATGTGGCGGATGTGACTCATCACTGAATAAAGTCATTACCAGCACGGGAGGGTAGAGCTCCTGATTTGGCTTACAATCATCCGAAAGGCGTATGAACTGGTGATTTGGTCACGGGCTCCCAACGGGTAAGAGTCCATCACCGCCCTGCTGCTTTGTGGACTAGACATGTCCAAGGCTTCGGGGTGACCGTATCTTAAAACAACCCCCTACTTTGACCTAGGCAATCGACTAGTACCTCGCCTAGTGATGAACCATGGAAACGAACTGAACAGCACTGCTTCACTCTACTGGTGGCTTGCTCTTCTGCCACTACTACGGTTACTTTTCAATCACATGTTTCTCTCTCTTTCTCTACCCTTGCCTCATCCATCCCCCTTATTGTTTAATCATCCCACGGTGAACAACATTGCCTCCTTTTGATGAGTGTCGCCTTACTATCCTCTTCCTTAATAATATAGCGCCAGACCGAGATTAGCCAGTCCAAAACTCTATTATCAACGCTTCTGCAACCTAAAACACAGTTCAGCTTGATAGCTATCAATGTGCGCATCCTAAGCAGATTGGGCAAAACGCCAGTCTCGTAAACAGCACGAATTTTCGCTACCCTAGGTGCTACGGCGCTACCTGGCGTGCCCCATCATCGCTCTGTTGTGCGACCGCATCGATTTTACGTTCTTTGTTATCATGCGTTTTCTGCTCTTCATCTTCCGACAGTACATTTACTTTACACTTATTCGGATCGCGCTAATTTGCTCTATGAGCCTCCTTTCACGGAGTATTTCCTACGGTTCAAGGCTTCGGCAATTCTAGCTTTCGTACTCAAACATACGTGTAGACCTTACAGCATTTTGGTCACTTATCCAACTGTATTACTGCGTTCGATAGAGCAATCTCTGAGAGGACCAATAAAACCGGACTGGCTCATTAACATGTTTCCCAAAACAGATACAGAAAACTTTTCATTCCTTACTTGCCTATCATTCTCATCCAGCTCCGCGCACATCGGACTCGTTCTTCCGTTTCGTCGACAAGCACTCCAATCAATCGACCAGTCGACTAATCTGTCTTACCATTCGTATGTACACGCGTGTAGTCAACCGGCGTGTAACGGACATTAAGAATTGCGTAAGCGCTGGCCCCGGACGTTACAGTGACGTTCACAATCTGCACGTGACCAGAAAAGTGCGGCCAACATTACAAACATGACGCAAAACTGCGTTATTCGGAGGATTGTGGTAAGGCTTTTAAGAGAAGGATAACGTGTCCAAACTGTATTCTAGATCGTTCCATCCGAAAGGTAGTGAAGTCCGCCCAAGAGTGATGCAAATAAACATAGTAGCAGACGCACCTTCGTTTTATCCAACCTGTCGAGTCATTCCAGTTATCAACTGTTTGTGTGTTCATGGAGAAGTGCGATAGATTGGCTGAGACTATTGCGCATTTGGTGAATATTAAGGTCGCACCTTAGGAGGTCGATATGACCACGTTGGTATCTCAACCAGCCAACTCAAGCTCCGCCTATAGGCCGAAGAAGAAGGACAGACACTCCGGCCGCGCTGCCCGGCCTGTCTCAAAATACTCTGGTTCGCCTCACTCTACTAAGCAGAAAAGTATCGACCGTTTGCGATAAATCGGAATACTTGTAGCTCGGTTTGACTGGTCTACTTTTCATTTGTTCTTCGAGATGAGCAATTGTGCTGCAGACATTCCTTCACCAGCCAAAGTGACATCATCAGTTCCTCACTGCTTAGCGTACAAGCTCGTTGAGTGCGTCGTCGGCTCTTGATCGATGGGCAAGTGACTATGCTTACTTTTACTCCCTTCAGCGGTGCAATCCAAATTGCCTCGGTGACGATGATAGCAGGTCCGAGCCAGAGCCGGGCATCGTACGCATCAGTTGCCTGCATGCAAACGCCACTGAGAACACCCTTGGTCCCAGTAGAAAAACCGAGCAACATAAGGGTGACGCAGCTTTCACAACCAACCAAACCGTTTAAAACGGTATCATTTAATTCCTTCAAACCTGCGACCAACAGTAGAAACCACGGTGATTTCAATTGTGTGCGCAGATGTTCCAGAATTGCATTCTAATACCATAAAGAAGAAGCTGATGCACGACCAAAACCAGTGGAAATCCGTTTGTGCTGCTATTGCTATTTCGGTCGGGCCCACGACACTGAGACAGGTCACACCTCACTCAAATTCAGCGCATTACGGTGGACCTCGAATTTTCCGTGTGACACTGGTTCCTTTGACGAAACGGAAGCCGTTCTGCTGTCATCGATTCGGCTCCATAACTTATTCCTTACGGTGCATATACTTCCGGCCATCCCTTGGAACGAGCGTCCGTGAGAGAATAGTAACCAGGAAGCAGTTCGTTACTCTGACGAAAAACGGACGATTATTGTTTACGGTGTTCCTGAGTTTCAAGCATCTTCCTCTAAGGAAGCGGAAGCACATGACCGAGAGCATTAGGAGTACAACCCCAGGAACTCTCTCGACGCTGATGATATCGCTTTGCTTGGGGACAATCCACAGGCTATCCAGAGTGCTTTAAACCGCTTAGCGGTGGAGGCGTCTAAGTATGGCCTGTATTTCACCTTAGCTAAATGTAAGATACTACTCCAACACTGGCTGATGCTCGTGCATATCCTCACCATTGCTCGTGACGTTCTGAAAAAGTTCTTTGTTTCATCTATCTAGTGAGTTGCATCACAGCTGGCGGCGGTGTTGGAGACGAAGTCTCACAATGGATCACAAAGTCCCGTCTTGCATCCATCAAACCGAAACACCTATGGCGTCGTCGCGTTATCAGTATCAAGCTGAAGGCCTCTTTCCAGGCGGTCCCCATGTACGGCTCTGAGACCTGGCCTGGGGACTACTCGACTCAGACTTCCTGTGGTTAGAAACACTGGAGGTGATGGCGCGTAACAGACATCAGTGGCAATAGTGCTGTTAACCGCGTTATCTATTAGTTAATTCCTAATCGAATATATAAATTCAAAACAAAATCTCAAAACGACATGTGTAAAACCGTAAAAATCGTTTTTCTTCTATGTTGTATCTCGTTTCCTGCGTTTTTTCTCTCGTCGTGGCTCGGATGGCACTTTCTGTATTCGGATTGTGAATATATATATATATATATATATATATATATATATATATATATATATGTACTCTCGACAATATGGTCGCTAAGCGATGGACAAGTATTCCAGTTTCATCCAATTACAAGGGGAACGGTCCTTACCTCAACTATCACTGCGCCCCAGTGTCTTTCTGAATGTTTACGCGCGATATTTCTTTTTCATTTTACACTGATGTTAATTATCAAAGTATTCATCTCGGCAGACGTTCGATAGATGACCCAGACATATTTCAATTGCATCATATTCACCGCTACCATCCTACGGGACGTGTCAAGCACTTGCTTTTATCCCGTGATAAATCATTGTTCATTGTTCAAGCTGATGAAGGTGATGCTTCGGTCTGGGCTAATGACACCGGTCAACTTTGAAGTTGCTTACTTCCGGAACATGCTTCCTATAGAAATTCATTTAAAAGCAGCGGGTACACGTCCGCGGGTGCCTGACGATCCATTGGGGACGGATGACTTGGTGATACTTACCCTCATGCAGCTCTGTCAAGGGATTGATATAATGATGACTTCAGCATCCGACGTTCCACGGTTAAATAGGGGTAACCATCATAGCCCTGACAACGCGTGCAGTCGTATAACCCAACCGATCTTCAAAAGCGGACAACTCTTTAAGAACAACTAGTGACCGACCCCTCAACGGTCGGTACAATCTCCATTCTTAGTTCAACATCTGCTGGCTCCCTTTTAGTTACCAAGAACCTATTTTACTTGTGTACTAATGTTCACCGAAACTTGGTTGAACTCTGAGAGATTACTGACGCTGAGGTTGCTCTACTCGTTAGGTCACTCCTGTGGAACGACCCAAAGAAGGGGGAGTGATCATTTATTACAAAATAATCCTTCGTTGTGAGCTCATAGATGATCCTCATGATCATCAATACAGGTTAGCTGAGAGTGGGAAACACACGTCAGTTGGTATGCCGCAATACAAAAGATAAAATACAAAAAGTTATACTATAAATAATTGAAAAGGCAAGTAATATAATGTAAGGTATTATATTATGCATTTGGAATGAGATCGTAATTCGAGGAGGAATCTAAAAGAGAGGGGGATGAAAAAAGAAACTCACACCACAAACCTTATTGGGCGCGGCTCCTAGTCATATCAGCAAGTTCGTCCAACCAAATATGTTCATCATCCTTGAGATCTCAGCCTAGCTGTCGGGATGATACTCAAACGTGTGTCACTAGTCTCCTTTTGTAAAAACTGTGATTGGATGAAGATGGCATATGCATTGTG